GAAAGCCAATAAAGACCAGGCTCAGGAGATTTCTGCTAGGTTTCAGATGACGTGTGTTATGCTTTAGCAGAAAGTTTGTCTGCATTTTGCTCATGTCCAGAGACTTTGCTTGAGACTGAGATTATGGGTGGCAGACTAATTAATCTGACAGAGGAAACTTCAAGGCAGTCTAATGCTGAGGCAGGGGCGTGGCTACTGTTTGGGGCATTTGACTATATTTATGTTGAGAATAAAGAGCAAACAGCTCAACAGAATGATGTAAAACATTTTTAATTTGGCCAGAAAGGAAGCCCCAGTAAAGTTGTAAGATAAAAGGGGCAGAAAGTCACTGTTAAGGTTCCTTCATTGCTTTTGCTACCTTCTGCAAGCCATGAACCATTTCTTCTCTGTGATGCCCTTTTGCCATGTGCTATTCTCTCTTGGAGCCAGCCAATTATGGACTGAAACCTCTACAAACTGTGAGCTAAATAAACCCTTCCCTTTAACTTTGAGTGTCAGATATTTTGTCTCAGCAACAAGAGAAGTGTAACTAACATAGCAATTACTATAAAACATATTATAAAACTACAGTGATTAAGATAGATTAGTGAAACAGAATACAGAGATTGGGCCTCACATACATGGTCAACTAAGGCAATTCAATAGAGAAGGCTAATCTTTTCAACAAATGATGCTGGAATACATGGGTATCACACAAAGAAACAAAGCACACAAAGAAACAAAAATAATCCAGAACCTTGACTCATACTTCACATCTTATAAAGAAATGAACTCAAAATGGACCGTAAACCTGAAAGTAGAGTTTCAGACTGTAAAACTACTAGAAGAAAATAGGAAAATATCTATGTGACCCAGGGTTAGTCAAAGGCTTCTTAGATCTGATACCAAAAGCACAATCTGGGAAAAACCAAAATAATAAAGTTTGGGGCAGTGGCACACACCTGTAAACACAGCACTCAAGAGGCTATGACAGGAGGATTATGGGTTTGAGGTTTGCCTGTGCTAAATAGTGAGACCCTATCTCAAAAAAACCCAAACCAAATCAAAACAAAATAAATTGGACTTATCAAAGTTAAGAAATTATTCTCTTCTGAGTTTTATTAAGAGAAATGAAAAAATAGATACAGAGTGGGAGAAAATATTTGCAAAGTATGTATCGCCTAAAGGATTTAAAGCAGAAGATATCAAACTTCAGTGATGAGGAAACAGTCCCAAAGGCAAGTTTTTTTTTTCAGTGCTAGGAATCAAACCGTTGCACATATTAGGAAAGTGCCAGTAAGTTACCATTAAGCTACATCAACACTCACAAGGGGAAAAAATGAGAACCAAGACCTGTCATGTAAAGGTACAAGATCCCAATAATGAATGTAACTGTACTGTATACCTAAAATGTACCAATAAACTCAATGAAGGGGGAAAAAAGCTACATCAATACTCCAAGGCAAAACATTTGAATGGACATGTCACCAAACATGTATAGGTGCAAAATAAGCTCGTGTAAAGATTTTCGGTAACGCTAGTTCTTAAATTCAGATTAAAATCATAATGAGACATACTAGACACCTACTAAAATTGTTTAAAACAAAACAAGCTTAATAATACCAAATACTAACAAGGATGTGGAGTGCCTGTAACTCCCACTATTTCTGCTGCTGTGAATGAAAAATGTACAGGGACTTTAGAAAACAGATTGGCAGTTTCTTATAAAGCTAACTATAAACTTGTCATGTGATTCAACATTGCCCCTCCTGAATATTTACCCAAGGAAACGAAAAATTATGTTGACAGAAACTACTGTTTGTGAATGATTCCAGTAACTTTGCTCATATTTGCCTAAAACTAAGAAGAATCTAAATGTCCTTCAACTGACCAATGGGTAAACAGACACTGATTTATACAATGCAATACTACTCAGCAATGAAAAGGAAGACACTATAATAGATGCAAGAACCTGGATAAATCTTAATGACTCTGTTTATATGACTTCTATTCACCTGCCTTTTAAAAGAAAAGACAAATCTATATATACAGAAAATAAATCAGTAGTTGACAGGGACTCTGAGTGGAGGAAGGAGTTGACTCCAGAGATGCATGATGGATTTTTTCATGAGGGACTAATTCTATAACTTGATTATAGTGCTGGTTGCACAACTATACACATTTCTCAACACTCTCAGAACTGCGCACTGAAAAAGATGTACATAATATTATAGGTAATTTTTACAAGTTAGTTACCTCACATAATAATTATTTTGTGGTGAGAGCATCTCACATCCACTTTGTTTGTACTAACTCTTCACACCGAATGTAATCACTATGTAATGCAAACATGTACAAATAAAAACTAAAAAAAAGAGATGTTAAATATTACAGTTTTGAAAGTTGTTCATGTCAGCAAAAAACACTCTAACTACAGGCTATTGACTATTCAATAGATCTGTAATTATAAACAATAAATATATAAAATGTTCTCTGTCAAATCAAAAATTTTATGGTTATCCTTGACCCTAAATGGTTATAGAAAAGGGCACTAGAAAACGACTACCAGAAAATGAGGTTATTTTCTAATTAAACAAATTCTTTTATTCTTCTAGAAAATCTCAGCTGGGCTGAGTTTTCTTAGCATGCACATCTTTGCTGAGCTACTAAACAGGAGGGTTGTAGTTGGAGTTCTTAAAATCGGCCAGTGTGTTCACGAACATGCCTGGAAATATCAGAGGATGGAGTGCACATAGAATGATTTTTAAAAATTCATCTAATGAGATGAGCAGGTAATTAGCAGCTCAAGTGAAGGGGATGGGTGGTCCATGATAAGTAGTGCCAGGCAAACCAACACATGCTGAAACACAAACGTACACACACACACACACACACACACACACCTGTACACACAGTCAGTTTCCTCCAGTGTAGCAGCAGCTCAGGCTGCCTTTCCTGTGTCCACTGAGGAGCAAGGAGGGACCACACTCCATTTGGGGGTCATTGGATCTAACAGCCAGACAACAACTAACATGAAACTGCTCATTTCACTTGGACGGACTACATCTCACTTCTCTCCAGGCACAGATGTACCACATACACATTAGCTACTTCTTTAAGAATGAATGGCTGAGGGCCGGGGAGGTAGCTCAGCAGCACCACACTTGGTGGCAAGGTCCTGAGTTCAATCCCCAGTAGCAGAAAAAATAAAATAAAAATAAAAGAATGAATAGCTGACTCCTCCCACTTATCTTCAGTTCTAGATGCAGCAAATGCTGCCAGGACCCTGCCCATCTCCCCTGGTACTTGTCATTCTGCCCACACAGACTGAGCCTTACCTCCAGCCCTTGCAAGTCTGTCTGAGGCCATCCTCAAGCCACAAAGTAAGGGCGGCACTGTGCATGGCAAGCACAGGTGTCCGGGAATGCTGCTCCCAGGACGGCCAAGCCAGGAGAGAGAGAAGTGCAGGAGCAAATGCCCCAGCTTCCTTGCCTCCAGGAGAGGACCACGCGAGCCACTTCCCCTACTGCTGCCCACAGTCCCCAGCACAGACCAGGGCTCCACAGCTGTCCTCTGCTCACCAAAAGGCCTTCCTGTTGCCTCCTTTACCGACCCTGGCTCAGCTCTCACCAGCGCTTCTTGGGTTTGGCTCCCAGTCAAACCACTTGCGCACAAACCAGATCCTCTTCTCGGGGGTGTTTCTAGAGAGATCCAAGCTGAGACACAGTCAGGGCAGCAAGGGACCTTCTGCTAAGGGACACGTGCCCTGGGGTGGCAGCTAAGGGGCAGCATTTGGATCATGCTCACGATCACACAGCAGCCTCTGAAGTGGCTCTCTGACCTGCCCCACCCCAGACTGGCAGGCTTCAAGGCAACAAAGTGCACAGAAGGTAAAATGTGACTTATTTATGCAGTTCTTCTACTTAGCCCACATTCAGGCCCCGGAAATTAAGAGAGAGAGGGAGGGAAGGATGCTTAAAGGAAAAGAAACTAGACTATTTCCAAGCCCCTCGAGGTGCTCCAGAAGTGTCCATTGGCCAACAGAGACAGTCATGATAGTAAAAAGCCATTCTGGTCTGATCCCGAATGAGGCGGGTCTTGATGAAGAATCTCATGGCCCAGGAGCTTTCAGTCCGACTGGATGTAATGAGTGTACTGCCTTATGGAACAATCACAGTCACCTTTGGTTAAAAAACACTCTCATTTTAAAATGGTCTGTAATTCTGGAGTTTCACCAGTTTATCTTGGATTCTTCTCATCACTGACACCTAATTAGGGATATCGTATAATCACTTTATCTAGACGAAAATATTAGCTTTGGGTTTTTTCCCTAGTCGTGCTGCTGGGGATTGAACTCAGGATCCTTAAACTCAGCCGTTGCCACTGATTCTACTTTTAATTTCGACACAGACTTTCTTTAGCATCTAAGTTGGGATCCAAGTTGCCATCCTCCTGCCTCAGGGTCCCAGAGTGCCGAAGTTGTAGGGTGGTGAGCAGGTTTTGAGTCTTTGAAACACCTGTCCGAAATGCCTGGCAGATTTCAAGACGCGAAAGGTACTGGAATACAATGCCCCATAAATAATCAAAGACTCAGTGGTACCGCGCCAAATCCACCAGTAGGACCACTGGTATAGTGTACGGGTCAATCACTGAAAATTTAGCGTCATCACCTGGAATAGTCGTCCTTCTCTCTCTCAGATGCACATCAACATTTTAGGAAAAGTGGGTGAGTGCCTCTACCGCCCTGATCTGTGATTCATAGAAAACAGTGATCCAACAGAGTGTCTTCAAACTATATTAAATGCCCTCCCCCGCCTTTTTTGTTGACACGGGTGATGGAACTCAGGTCCTGCACTTGGGAGGCAGGCACGGTGCCACTGAGCTAAATCCCTGGCCCTGCCCTCTGTTTAATACATAGAGAAACGCAAGGTAAGTGGTTATGTGTAAGAAGGTGATGTTATTGAAAGTAGAGGGAGACTATTAGGCCCTATGAAGGAGATTGGGGGCAGGAGGAGGGGCGATGCAAGTATGTTATATGCGTGCACCAATATGCCAGAATGGAATCCAATATTCAGGCATAACTCCGTCGCACTGATGGTTTGCTTGTTTGCTTGTTTGTTTGTTTTTTAAAGAGGACAACGACAAGCGTACGTGACACGAAAACCCTTAGGCAGATGCTCACTGGAGAACATGAAAACTCCTGATGCTTGCACCAAATATGTGTCATCTCCACGGATGTAAGCGATACCAACTCTGTGTCATGCAGGCGTGCTGAATGGGGGCTGCTACCGAAGCAGCCCTAAGGTGGGGACGAGAGATTCTCAAGGGAGCAATTCTTTGACTCTCGCACTCAGACCAGCCGCGAGCTTCCAGGAGGTTGCTGGCAATGGCCTTCCCGCAAAACTGGTTGAATCTTGAAAGTGTCTCAGCGTACACCCTGTTTTCATGGGTTACCGGTGCTTGCACGTGCACGGTTTGAAAGTTCCACGTAAAAGAGACGCGCACGCGTCCGGTGGGCGCAGGGCACCAGACCGGAAGTGGAGGCAGAGGCCTGGTGCACTCACGTGGTCACCGCGCGGCACGAGCCTGAAGCTGGGCACGTGGGCGGGGGAGAGTACGCAGTGCGCATGTGCAGCAACCAAAATCCCGGAGGTCACGTCGTCGACGTCGGCCTCCTCCTGTAGTCGTCGTCCACGGCACTGACTCTGACTCGCGTGAGTGAGTGAGGCCCTTCCCGCTGACAGGTACGGAATTTTCAGAATTTTGTACAGTGCTTCCTTGGGGCTGAGGGCGGGTGTCTCGGGCAGCACAGTGGTGTAAGGCTGCTTGTTCTCGGGCCGGGGTGGTAGAGATTTGCGGGGCCACTTGTAGGAGTACAGAGGTGCTTTCCGCCTGGCGTGACGCGGGCTCCACCGCTGTTCTCTTCTCGCAGGGCCTGGGTACGTCACGATGCAGCGAGGGTTAGAGCAAGCCCTTGACCGTGCAGAGGAGGTCATTGCGAGGGCCCGGCAGAGACCCCCGGAAAGGAGAGCCCCTTCGGGCGAGGAGAAGTCTCTCCATGAAAAGCTTTATGACATTTATGTGGAAGAATGTGGCAGAGAGCCCGAGGACCCCGAGGAACTCACAACCAGCTCCAACCTGCTAGAGAAGCTGGTTAGCAGAGAGTCGTTGCCGTGCCTAGTGTTCAGCCTGTACCCCGGAGATAAGGGCTATTCTGTGATGCTGGATGACAAAAGTGGGTCCTTTTCAGAGACCATTTCGCTGCCCTATGGAGAAAGTAAACTGTTGGAGTACTTGGATGCACAACAGTTACCTCCTGTTCTGCTCGACCTCCTGAGCACCTCTCAGATGAACCTTTTCCACAGTGGCTGCGTCATAGCAGAAATCCGAGACTACAGGCAGTGTGGGGGCCTGGACTCTCCTGTGTACAAAAGTAGGCATATTCTCTTACGTCCGACGATGCAGACCTTAGTGTGTGATGTAGAGGCCATTGCAAGTGACAACCCTCCATGGACACAGCAAGACAAGCTCACCCTTGAGAGCCAACTGGCCTTGGCTACAGCAGAACCACTGTGTCTGGACTCTTCTGTGGCAGTAGCCTGCACTGCCGACAGACTGCTGTTTAGCACGAATGCTGCACCAATGATACAGTGCTTCAAGAGACGTCAGAGACCCAACCTGAGTCTGCTGGGGGAATTGTCTCATCAGGCTCCTCCCCCTGACTTCCAAGTACTGACTCTTTGCAAAAAAAATACAAGAAGGGAAAGCAAGTCAGGGATACAGTGTGACAATTACAGCCCAGAATTATGTAGACAAATGGAAACAGAGACTCTGTGACCTGAACTTGCCTTCTGAAATTGATGCGGACAAATATGCCACAGGAAAGACAGGTCCCCTACCTGGTGATGTACCACGACATTGTTGGCCACCTCTTGTGCTAGAATATGATTGTTTGTTTGATTTGGAAAAGGAAATTCAGGCACCAGAAATAGACCCAAGCATTGTGCTGTTAGGTAATGATCCACTTTGGTGTGATATGGTAGATCCACCAAAATTTCTCCTCCAGAGCGAGAAGCATCCCACACACATCGCCACTGGTGACCATTCAGGCAGTCTCAGAGCTAGATCAAAGACTGATTCTGGGAGGGCAGTCAGCACATGCCAGGAGTCTGTGCAGAGCACAGCTGCATATGCAGGCAAGATGGCATCAGGCCCCAGTGTTTCAGGCAGTGTCAGTCAACCCCTTCCAGGGGCAAAGCCAAAACACCCTATGACCTCAGTGTTAAAGGAGTCTTCAGCATCCACAAAAGAAGTTAGTCCAGAAGCTCCACTCTTCACACTTGCCGCCAGCTCTGGACAGTGTTCATCAGGTCAAGATCTCCCTGTACTACAGGACAGCAGCTCCTGGACATTTCCACCTCTTGCTCCTGGTGCCATGCCAGCCAGACTTTCTCAGACATGTGGTGTAAGTCTCAGAGAAATTAGCTCACTTCTTCCTCCTGCCCAGCCCCTTGATAATGCGTCATCTCAAGGAACCCTGATGACCCAGAACCCAGCCAGCTCCACTAGCCTGGAGGTTGTCAGTGTTACGGGCCCAGCGCAGCAAGCCCCAGTTTTGGTGAGTGGTTCACAGCCGATGCTGCAGAGTCCCACTGATTCTCTCGCTCCTGGAGGAATCCTGCTCCATGACCTTGTGAGCCCAGAAGGCCTGCAGCCCAGTACATCGTTGGGTGGGTCGCAGTCACCTGCTGAGAGAAGTGTTTTACTTGATATTAGTGATCTTATCTCCTTAATTCTACCCCAACTTCCAGATGGCTCTGTCATTTCGTCCCCACAGTCACATTCTGAGGAGCTCCAGCCCCAGCTCATGCTGGAGCTCGAGCTTGAGCCTGAGCCCAAGCCCCAGCTCCAGCCTCAGCCTGAGCCTCAGCTCCAGCCCCAGCCCCAGCCCCAGCTCCAGCCCCAGCTTGAGCTTGAGCTTGAGCTAGAGCTCCAACCTCAGTTTGAGCTCCAGCCCCAGCCCCAGGCCCAAACCCAGGCCCAGCCCCATCCCCAACTCCAGCCCCAGCC